CTTATTTTCAGGGAGGTCTTATTTTCAGGAAGATGCCTTATATTTCTGCGAGAGGCAAAACTGTCAATAGGTCTTATTTTCAGGGGATGTCTTACTTTCGGGGAAACAGGGTAGTAGTCCAACTACCGTGTGTGTAGAGTTGTCAGGAGCCAGGGGCCAACGCAACTGTAGCTAACAAGAGCATGGTAGGATGCTAAGTAACAAAGACTGTCTATTAAGTTAACAGCTGGAAAGAATTTTATGAAGTCACTGGTTGTTGCCAAACTTGCATCCCCGAGTAGATCAATTGGTGAGCTGGATAGGTGTGCCCTAAAAGGGGTCCAGGTGGAGAGCAGGGGTTAGTGCTTGACTGCCAGCCAAATGTTTGACAGTCGCACCCACAGGTTGCTCTGTGGAGACAAGATGCGGCAGCCTGATTCCTTACGGATTTCAGCCTTGGAAGCTCCTGGGGCTTTCCTCTGCCCTGGAGGCCCCCAGTGATTGGACTTGGCTGAAGGCAATGGGTTTGGTTTGGTTTTGGGGTTGTTCTGTGCCATCTTGTAGGACAGGTCTTCGAGCAGTGATTTTCAGCAGTGCTACGTCAAAAGCATCTGAGACATTCTGTTCCATTCTGTTCTCCATTTGTTAAGAAGAGAAACCCAGAGAGACTCGCAGGGGCCCAATTATTTTTAAATTACCTGCATTTTCTTTTACAGATCTGAAGAAGACCCTTGCTGTGTTGTTGGATAATATTTTGCAGCGCATTGGCAAGTTAGAGTCGAAGGTGGACAATCTCGTAATTAATGGCACAGGAACAAACTTGACCAACTCCACCACAGCTGTTCCCAGCTTGGGTGCACTTGAGAAAATTAATGTGGCAGGTAAGAATGGCAACGTTGTGCCCTGTTACGGAGTGAGGCTCCACTTCGGAAAACAAACAAACAAACAAACAAACAAACCGAAAGAGCACAATAGTTCTTGATGTAATAGAAGTTTCCTCAACCTGAGTCTACACTTATTTACACATAAGAAATGTTATTGTGCTGTATGGTTTCACCATGGTATTCAAGGTACGGTCGTGTTTGACCCGCTTGCCCATAATGAGCTCCTGGAATTCACTTCTGAGAGAGCTTCATAACATGGATGAATGAAATCTGGAGGTTATCTGAGAAGCTCATACAGTGTAAATACAAAATATTGTTACAAAATCAGAGAGACCTGCACTAGACAGAAACATCAAAATGTAAAGCTATTGTGTCTCGAGATACCCTACATCCTGGTCTCTATACTTTCGGAACCATCCCTCAAATCATCCTGTGCTCTTTGATTCACACCACATCAGAGATGTTTAGAGGAGCTTAAAGGACTCACCCCGCCGCTTCTCAATGTGTGAGTTTTTGAAACCAAAAGAAATCTGAAGGGGCCAGATCAGGGCTGATGGACAGTTGGGGTTCGGCTTCTCAGTAAAACCCCATAGAGCAGTCAGTCCTTGCTCCCCTCAAAGATGCATTGCTGCAATTGGGAAAAATGCCTGGGCACAACTTTCCTGACAGTTTGCAATAGTGCAGATTTTAATTTTCTTGAGACTTCTTAATAAGCCCCCATGATCTTCCTGGGTCATTTGAGAAAAGCAAGATTATCGCTTTGTAATCTTTGAAAGCGTTGTTCACCCACCCCCACCCCCCAGCCCACCCCCGAGGTTGCAACCCACAGGTAACGAATCGCTGCCGTAGATTGTTGTGGTTGAGTCAAGACTGGGGGTGGCCACTGCCATTGTCTGGGGGCCCAGAAAGCATAGAGCTCAAGGGTCAGATGCTCTGGGGGAATGATTGTGGCTGAACTGTATGTAGTGCTGGTGAGTGGCCACCATGCCAAATTCTAGTTAATGGATGAAGGAAGTAGCTGAGGCACTTTGAGAATTTAAAAAATCTAATTCTGTACATATTTTAGCCTATTTCCTTCTCTTTCCCTTTTTTGTAAAATTTCAAAGCTTTTAGTGGGAGAGATCCCTTCTTTTTCCCACCTCGGTGTCAAAATATCTAATTATTTCATATTATGCAAGTTTCTGGTGCTACCTTTTGGTAATATTCTTTGACCTTAAGCAAGTTAGAAATTGCAACATATATTCCCAATAATCCTAAGTATCCAACCGAACAAAGGTATTAAAAATAACTTTTAATTACAACACAGAAGCAGTGTCATCGAGGCCATCAATTCCATCCTCCCTGCAGTTTTCAATAGCTTCTGTAATTAGACAAGAAAGCTTCCCACTGTGTTGAGCTGCTTATTAATAAATGGAACCCATGCCGCTGCAGTCGCCCCTCCCCCACCCCCATTCTCAGTAGAAAATGCAATTGGAAAAATCTATCTGATTTCACAGCGGTTCTGTATAATCCCTGTTTCCCGAGGTGGAGCAGTGGGTTCTGCCTTAACTCTGCTAACCCCGCAAATGCCGTCTCACACTTTTTTTATTACTAGGCTCATTCATTCATTGCAGTGGCTGAACGCAGACCATTTTCCTGATTAAAGTGTTTCTTAGGGACGGGTTACAATACGGGTTAAACAGGATCAGGATATAGCTTTTCGGTTGGGACATGTTGCAAAGTTCTTTCAGGACTGCTAATAAATGCCCAAGGGCTCACTCTGCTGTGAGCCTCAGCTGGAAGACCTTCAGCTCCAGCTCCCTGAATTAAGTGCCTGGAGACCTCTAACTCCAGTCAGCCTCCACCCGAAGGCCCTCAGCTCCCGCTCCATGAACCAGCAAACCCACCCTCTACCCTCTATTAAGTGTCCAGGAGCACCCCACTCCACCATCAGGCAGCTTTGATGGCCTTGGGATTGCCTTGGGATGGCCTTCAAGCCTTCAAGACTCCAGACGCTATAGCTCTTGATAGCCGGACTCCATCAGCTTTCTTTATCACATTTGCTTATGCACCCAAGAGCCTTGTTTCTTTGGATGGCCTGAACTTTGGTGTAGCAGCATGCTTGTCCCTTTTCCATGCATGTGCTTTTTTATGTATACTGTAGGCTCACCACAGTAGATACAGATGTATGCGGTCTGCCAGAAGTTGAGGCATCCTTTAGATCTTGTCAATTTACCAGCATATATTTCGAAAGTATTTGTTCTGGCGCTATAATGGAAATGAAAGCCAACCAGTTATGTTGAGCTGATTTTGACTCATTGTGACTCCTTGTATGTCTGAACAGAACTGAGCTCTGTAAGGTTTTTTCAAGGACCTAAGGTTTTTTCAAAGGAGGACCTAGGTCCCCCTTTGTATCTTGCTCTGGCTCCTGATCCTATGGCTGATCCTGCTCCTCTGCCATTCCTTTGACAGTACAGCTACCCTCTGGATCCAGGAGGTTCATTATGCAGGGATCTCGTGGTCCAGAGGACACACTCCATTCCTAGCTCTTACTGGTAATGAGAACCCCTGTCTGGCTTCTGGGAGCGTTTGTTTTAAAAGCAACAGGATGACTATCACAACAAATTCTGTTAATAAGCGCACAAACTGAATACTATTAGTATCTTCCCCCACCAACAGGAAAAGGTCCTTAGGTGGGAGTTCCAGAGACGCTAAATAATTTGCTGCCCTGCACCCACAATACCCGTGTCCTGTAACTCCTTGTTGATGGCTTGACCCGTCCCGCGGGCCATTAAACAACGTGGATACCTGAAAGAGGGACTGGGAATGAAGAGGGTCAAGAGACGCGAGAAATGGAGGCAAGACAGGAGTCTGATCAAGCCTCGATTTATTGAGCAGAAGGCAGGGGCTTAAATACCCTATGGTGGGCGGGTAACATTACATCATATGCTAATAAAGTGTAACGAATACCCAATGGTGGGTGGGTAACATTACATCATATGCTAATAAAGTGTAACGAATAGTATCCAATAATCATGTAGCTACAATATGGAAGAAATGGCAGGTATCAGTCCTCAAACAGGTCCGCATGTAAATGAGGTGCACTTGGATGCCTGGCGGAGGTGTCCAATGAGCATGGCGGCTGCCTGCCACCGAGCACCAATCATCACAAAGGCCAAACTCAGGCAGGACAATAGGCCAGGGAACATCCGGCAATGGGAAGCGTAAAGACAGCGGACGGCAGGCCATGGGCTGAGAGACATGCAGACTCCCACATGTGCAGACTCCTACAATGGCTGCCATGGAGTTGATTCTGACTCCTGTTGACCCCAGCTGTGCCGAGTAGAACTCACAGCTCCACACAGATACCGAAGCTCATCTTGGGTTCGAACCCTCAGCCTCTGACTCGTAGTTGAATGCTTACCTGTTTGCCCCACACAGCTGCCTTTCCACTCTCCGTACTGGTTTCCCCACCTCAGCTCCAAGTCTCCGGGAAAAGATGGTGGGTAAACCTCTAGGAATCCAGTGGGCGGGAGCTGGTTGAATCCTGTCAAGGCCCCTCCGTTGAATAAAGTATTTAGTTAACCTCTTGCGCACATTCTCTGTTATTGGCGCCTCATGGGTACCTGGTAAAGGTGACACTGTTGTTAGTTTTTGACTTTTGACTCCATGCACAACAGGTTCTGACCATCGCAGTCCATACAGCTGGCATGGCCTGTTTTGGGAAACTAGATCACAGGCCTTTGCCCCCATAGTCTTAGTCTGAAGAACTGCTAAAATTTACTTAGCATCATAGCAACAGCAGACTGGTCTCCCATACAGAAGTGAGAATTCACCTCTGAACCATGTCTGGCCCCAGTTTGAGGATGACTAGGACTGACTTTTAAGTAATATTTCAAGAACCCTAGTGTTTTCTTTTGAGGTAATGATTTTTCTTTCTTGTTGGGAAATAGGAACATGTTTAGCATTACCCATTTAATAATTGCCCTGGTTCTTCTTTTGTGGAGGGAATAGAATCCCCCACAACAACAAAAACAACCCCAAAAGTGTCCTCAATATTGTTAGTAGCCAACTAGGAAAATAAAATGTCTGAGGGAACTGTGGTCTGTGTGGGCTGCGAATGACTGTCCGGCTTCCGGTGGCTGGGTGGACTTTGCACATGGAAAGGATTACAGAAGTTCTATTGAAGGAGGTGCAGATTAGAAATGGATTATGACCCAGAAAAATTACTGGGATGGAAGAGAGGAGACCAACCATCTTGTAAAAAATACCATGCATTGCTTACAGCCCTCTGAGGGTACACCTTGTTGTTTTTTACTCAGTCCTCTCAGCATCTCTGAGAAGGAAGTGGTTTCACAAGTTATGCTGAGTCCAAGTACTTGTGCAGGAGACTGTTGGTGCTGGACTCACCTGTTGCCTGGCGTCAGCCTTCCTACTGCTATGGAGACAAGATCGTCCTTTTCATTAGACTATTGCCCATAATTCCATTTGTTAGTCATTGCAAATGGACGAGTCTGGCAAAACATTTTCTTAAAGATGAGAAGGAGGAATGGAAGTTTCCTGGAGTATATGTTAAACTGTCTCATAAGCAAGTTCTCTGTGTCCAAGAGCCTAGTTTCTCTTTTTTTTCCCTCCAATTACGCTTCCCAATTTTTTTTGTGAACTCAGATATTTGAACTAGAACCTCCAACCCTCTGTATAGGATTTATTTAAAAACTCTAAGAATTACACAAAAATTTAAAATAGATTTTTAAGACTACCTTTGCTCTTTTTTAAAAAAAATCATTTTATTAGGGGCTTATGTAACTCTTATCACAATCCATACATACATCAATTGTGTAAAGCACATTTGTACATTCATTGCCCTCATCGTTCTCAAAACATTTGCTCTCCACCTAAGCCCCTGGCATCAGCTCCTCATTTTTCCCCTCCCTCATGAACCCTTGATAATTTACAGATTATTATTTTGTCATATCTTGCACTGTCCGACGTCTCCCTTCACCCACTTTTCTGTTGTC